GAGTGAGTGTGAAAATTTTCTCCCGCTACTCTTCTGGGAAATTTGGAAATAAGGAGACTTAAAACTCACTGCTATGCTGCTTCCAGCAAAGGGTAGTTGAAGATTGGGAGTTGGGGTGAGGCAGAAATAAATTTCCTCATCAAACCAGCTGAATTTGACATGAGGAGCTCTGAAAAATCAAGCTGATATGATGAATGTTTGAGTGCTGATGTTATTTCAGTGAATGTTCTCAGGGTAACAGGTAGTGCACAAAACTGAGAAGATGTTATCTTTGATCCAAAGCATAAATTAGGAGGACAGCAACTGAAAGACAAGAGTGTGTCCAGAGACAACAGTAGTGTAGAATGACATTTCTTCCCACATTTTAAAAGAGAAAAAAAATTTCCTTTCAGGAAGGAGAATAGGGTCATCTTCAGGTGTAGAAATGGAAAGAATTTCCAGTGTAGTGATGTTTCTCTGATTTGTGACTAGTCAAGTTTGACAAGGATTTGATGGGGATGGGAGAAGGGCAGAAGTATTCTGCATGAGTTCCAGGTGTTTTTTCCCAAGGAATCAAAATGACCAAACAAAGATTGCTATTTCAAGAAGAGTGACTGTTTGTTTGGCTGTAGAAATTTAGAATGAAAAAATCTGCAACCTGCTGCTGCCCTGAGTGAGTTTTTTTCCCAGAGAGGCAGCAGCCAGCACTTGTTGCTAAAAGAAGTGCATCAGGCCTATGCATAACAGCTCCACTTGAGAAGTGTGTGTTAAGAGTGATTTAGCTTCTAAAGTGTGTCAGTCTTTGAAACAAATTTGAGTGGGAAGCTGAGGATAGAAAGGGGAATCATTCCTTGCCCAAGGTCAGTCAAGGTTCTGTGATGCAAGAGAGAATATTTGGCAGTAATTCTTTGTAACTCGGTTTCTGAGTGCTAGTGGGAACTCTTCCAAAACAAATCTAGTCCAATAGTCTAAATGCCTTATTTTGTAGTTTACTTTCTGTGTAATTGAATTAGAGTTAATGAATGTCCTACTTCTGTCACAACAGACTTAGAAGAAGACCAAGGAGCTCTAAAGTTTCCAGCAGCAAGATACTGCTACTCCCTGATCTGTGTGGCTCTGTTCACTTGAGTGAATGGTAAAGGTAGAAAGAAGATGTTGGAAAGTTCTTGCCTATTTTCTTGCTCTAAGATAATGTTAAATACATTTGAATTTAATTAAAAATGCTGATAGGAATCCTGGCTTGGACTTCTGTGGAGAAGAGGGGTAGACTTTTCTCTGTGGACAGGATAGTTGAAAGGAAGAGATCAAATAGAGGAGCTCATCAAATGCAGCTGTCTCTGGGAGAAAGAGCTGGGTTGGGCCCAGTGCAGGAAAACCTCCTCCTGTGTCAGGCACATCTGTCCTTTTCAGCACTTTCTTAAAAAGTTATAGGAACAAACATGGATATCTTGGCTTTCCTCTAGGTGTATCAGTGGAGACCACAAAATCTTTATATATCTGTTTTCACAGTCTCAGAATGCAGAGAAAGAAAGGGGTTTTAGAGAAGGTGGGAAGTAGAGGTAAAGCTTTTAATTATGTTCAATGCACAGGCATAATCTAGGCCTATACTCTTCTCTCAATTCTCAGTTAATTTGATGTCAATATAAGGTTTGTACAGCAACAGGAACTGATTTTTCTCCAAAACTCTTGTCATGATAATTATTTGTCTCTGTCTTTTCTCACATTCAGGCATCACTTTAAGAAAATATAGCATCCTTGAGGATCAGCACAGTTTCTATTATTCCTAAACCTGCTTTTTTGCCAACCCTGTTTTAGCACCTTGTATCCTTCCTTCAAACAGTAACTCCCATTTCACTTTTCAACTCTTTCCTCGCTTTAAGTTTCACCAGCTGAAATAATTGACAGTAGAGCATTTTGTGTTGGTGCTTAAATCTCATGACCAGACTTTGCATGGTTTACACTGCCATGAAATGAATGGTACAGGTCATGGGGAGGCATGCTGCTTGCAAGCTTTTTTAGACTCAAGGCTTTTTAGCCTGTTCTGAAAGTGAAATCTGTATCAGCTAGTCTTGAAAACACAGATTATATAAATCTCACATTTGGGACAACTCTAAGCATATGTATATGTAAACTTTCTTAAATGTGAGTTTATGTTTTGCAGTGTCTAGGTATGTCATAAAGGCCAGAAATATGTCACATGGTCTGGACCTAACTCCTGGGTAAAGTGATTCTTGTCTGTTTAAATTTAACTGGATTTCGAGACCATCACCAGAACTGAACTGTCTTGACATGTCCTGGTTGAATGTCTCAGCCATCAGGCTCTTGGCTTTTTCAGGGTCAGGACACTGTACACTGAAGGGTTCCTTTCCCTCTCCCCCAACCACTTCTAAGAGTCTCTTTTATATCAGTAAAACTATTTTTCCCCTTTTTCAATTTATTGTTTTCATATTATCTCAAGTCAAGGATAATGTATGGACTCAAATGTAAGGTGTACACTAAATACAAGTCAACTGCTTCTAACTGTTCCTGCTTTACTGAAATACCTTCAATGTGGATAGAATCAGAACAGCATGAGGTTCCCTTAGGAATTTCAGCAGCTGTCTGACCATGCAACTGATGTTAGAGGGAAGGACAAGCAAATGCCATCTCACTGAGGGTGCAGATGACTTGCTAGAAAATAATAAATTATATACAGCATTGGCCCCAACTCACATATTTGGGTTTTTTTTTGTCATGTGAAGTACTTAGTGCATTTGGATACGAAGCATAACTTGCTAGTTTGGGGTTTTTTTTGTCATGTAAAGTACTTAGTGCATTTGGATACGAAGCATAACTTGCTAATGAGGCCGTACCTGCTATTTGGGAGAAGATGTCAATATGATGACCACATTCTGAAGTAGTGATTTCTGCAGAATGCTAAATGAATTCACATTGATCTTACAATACTGAAGGATCTATCTTTTGTCATTCAGTACACAGGAGGCCTCTTTCAGCCTCCAGTGGCTTTGACTGAAGTGTGATCAGCCCCAGCTATTACAGACCTATTGCCATAGGTTCTACATGTACACGTTCAATTAATGCATGTTACAGAGCCATTTTTGGTGCTTCTGTAGTGCTATTAGACATCACAATTTCATTTTGCTTTTCTTCTTTTACTGTGTGCCCCCCTGAGACCTGTGCTATTTTGGCTTGTGAACATCCTGGGAGGCTGTACCTCTCACGACAGTGCAGCTTTTGTCTGGAGTATTGACCTTCCCACAAATTCATTAGTGGGCAGCTTGGCCTCCATGGTTAGCTTTATGCCTCCCCCCTCCTGGCCCCTTCAGAGTCATGTATAGATTATTAGGCTATTTTCTTCTTGCTGGGAGCAATTTGGTTTCGATGTAAAATAACGGTGAGAGTTATGCTGCTGCTCAACTTATTTTTTTTCTTTTCAGAATGTCCTTCCACACAGAATTTTGCTACGGGTCTAACTTGTTATGGCCTCCATCCCTAACTTATTTTTTTTCTTTTTAGAGTGTCCTTCCACACAGAATTTTGCTATGGGTCTAACTTGTTATGGCCTCCATCCCTTTGGACTATTCCTTGCTCTGAGGTCCTCAGCTTTGCCTTGCCATGGTGTGCCTGTTGAGCACCTGGGTGTTAGTTGGCATTAGGCAAGTGATCACCCTGTTGTGGGACTGTCACACCAAAAGACCTTTGTTCAGTGCAAATAACCACACCGGCCCTTTAGATGGGAAGTCTTGCTTTCTTCCAGTCACCCAGCCAAATCTTTATCTTTGTTAGCAAAAGAATATAGTGGAAAGAACTGAGAGAGCTGATAGAAATCTTTCTGTCTGTAGCTCTGAGTGGTGTTGTGTGTTTGCAGAGAGCTTTGCTTTCTGGCTGAGGTATAAAGCTCCGAAGTGTTAATTGATGCAGCTGGCTGGTACAGGGACAGCCCGTTTGATGAAGAATCCCAGTACAAGAAGTTTTCCCTTCCCAGACCTTAAAAATCACAGTTTTTAATGTAACCATGTGGATCTCATTTATATCCCTATTGAAGAGTCTTAGTTTAACTACAGGAAAAGCTTCCACATACAGATTGGTCCTCTTTGATCATCCTTGTTGCCTTTCACTGAACTTCTTTCCATTCTACTCTAGGGGAGGGTATTAAATGTAGGACAGTGATGGTCTCTGCTTTGGCCTCTACCCCTTTCCAAATAATCCTGAATACTCTGTATACTTCTGTGGGTAAAGTCTCTTCTCTTCTACTGAGCAATGAGCTGCTATCTCCACGGAACAGTCTGTTCTGACACTGAGATCTTTCTCCTGGTTGGTAGTGATCTGTTTGGGGTCCATCACTACATACATGAGGTTGGGATTGGCTTCCCCATATGAGCTCCATTTCACTTGCCATTTTGTTATCCTGTCATTGAGTCACTAGTTCCTTGTAGCTTCCCTCACTAATACTTTCATATTCTTTATGCTTAACTGATACACTGTAAACTCCTCAGTGAAAACACAACATAAATACTAATATGATATGAAAATCTTCAACTCTTCTGTCTACAGTGTAATATATTGTGGATATTGGTCTCCAGCCATTGCTTGTAACAGATGAAATGTAATTTGGTGTAATTCAATGCAGAGGTTCTGCTGGCCTGGGAAATGAGTGACATGCCAGTGTCTTCTCACCAGGACCTCCAGATGGACTTTCCCCAGGCATATGTTTGAATATACCTTATTTTCTTGTATATACTACAAGACATGTAGTTTATAGATCTTTGTATACAGCTTATTTCTACGTGTGACTATTTTTATATTTCTGAAGTGTTTTGCAGCTATGAAAAATGGGCAGAAACATTGCTATGCATCAGCAGTGCTATCCGAGTGCCAGCTTCCTTTCAGTGGAACACCTGGATATCTTACATGTTTTTATTACCTGGAAGAGTAATTTCAGAGGTTTTTGTGAATAAAGGCAAATGTTTAGAAAAATTTCTGCTTACCAAATGGGCTTTTCTCTTCCTGCTGTAACTCAGGTGCAGTGTCTACGCTGAAACCTCTTTTGCTGGATGTTGTCCCAACCATTCGACAGTCTGCTGCTTTGGCTCTTGGGAGACTTGCTGACTCCAGCAGTGACCTGGCAGAGGCAATGGTGAAGGCAGACATTCTTCCAGAGATCATATATTCATTGCCTGAGCAGAACGTAAGGCATCATTGTGTTCTTAAGTCATATGTTTTTAACTATTGCATGGGGAAAGGGAAACCTTTCTGTATCAGCATCTGTGTGATTCAAATATGACATTAAATGTACTGAAGTCAGAGACAGTATGTATGTCTGAACCCCTGAGAGGGCAATGTGCACTGTGTGCCTAAGTTTGAATAAACCTGACTTTAAAATAACACATTACCTTTTAATGCACTGCAGGAAATACATTCCTTGCACTGTAACATAGTTAAAATGTTGAGTGATGCTTTATAAAAGACCTTTTTTTAAAAATGAGACAGTTTGAAAGCTGTGGTGGTAATTGACTAGGATTTGTCAATAATGCCAGACACTTATATACATATTAAAAGCCTGAACTTCTGTAATGAAATATTTGATATCTGCCAATATAGGCTTTTGCAAATCTGCAGCATGAGAAATATCAAGCCTCTAACACAGGAAAATATACTGAAAGGTTTTAACCTTCATATTTGTCAAAACCAAACAAAGTATAGTCACAACTGCAATGCAAATAAATCTGGTGGTCTCTTTTACTCCCTTCTTCACATATTTCTTCAAGCTCTATGTCTCTTCTGGTTCTGATTTTCCAGTAATGCTAACCTAGATTAACAGAAATACTTCAAGTAAGGTTCCTAACAACTGGAGAGAGACAGCTGAGGGTTAAGTGCATGGATATCACAGCCATACTTAGGTTGCAGTTTTGATTTAGGAGAAGTAGGTTTTCAATGGAAATACAGTTTGGAAAACTTTATTTTTTCATTTTCAATCTTTAGAGAAAAACATGTAAGTACTCACTGCATATATTATGTGCATATAGGATTATTACCTACACAGTTAATTGGAAGGGGGGGAAGAAAAGCTTTGATGGCAGAAAGAAAGTTCAGTTTTTAGTTAGACAAATTTATAAGCATTTTAACGGAAGAAGAGGAACAAAACTCTATTGTCTACATTGGTTTGAAAACTATCCCCCTGCTACAATTCCAAACCCTCGGTAGATTAGCTTGAGCTTCCTGTTTTCTGTCTCCCATGTTACAGCCCATGCTGTCCTTCCACCAAGACAGCTGTAATTCAGAATCACTTGGGGCAGCAGCAGGATCAGTGTGAGGTCCTGGAAAGCCTCCTATGCCTTGGTGACCGAGGGCAAATGAAGGAAACTCGTTATCCAGCTCATGGAGAGTTTAGCAGTGAATACAGTTTGTTACTTCCCGTAGACAAACTCCCATTTCTATTCTACTCACTCTTCATGTATCAACATTTATATCTGAGGATCAAATTCTCTGAGCACACAACACATATTATTTATACTGGTTTATGGAGAACAGTTACAGGGGCACAGCCCAGATCAATGTTTTATCAATTAAACAGGGCAAAATCCAGTTTTACAGTGTGTTCTGCCTGTGCCTGTGAAGAGTTTGTTTGTAAACAATGTGTTTTGAATAACAAAAACAAAGAAGTGTTTTTCTTTGCCAGGAGCATAATTGCTTCACAGAAATAACATACCCATATTTGCACAGACATAGGCTGATGTAAACATCTATAACTCCTTGGAGTTCAGCAAAACTTACGGTAACTTAGATTATCTAGGGATTTGACCATTTGTCTGTGCTGTCTCCCTTAACTTCTGTTCCCCCCTAAATGATACTTAATGCTTTGTTTGTAAATTATGTTTAATACAGCTGCTTGTAGGCCTTAATTTAGAAGATTTTTGGCATTAAGGAATTAAATCAGTACAGGTAAACTAAGGAAGGTAAGGGCATGTGTTTGAGCACTAGAAGATGACTGTGCTCATTAATTGTTGAGATGCTCTCTGATGTGGTTTCAGCCAATGCCAGGCATTGAACTACTTGGCAATACCTGGATATGGTTTAAGGGATAACACAAGGCAGAGACAGTTTCCAGTAGCACAGATGAGGCCATTGTGCTTTGAGGAAAGAGGAATTTAGGTGGACAGATGTGGTATGCTGTGTCACCTTCCTTCAGGGCCAGGGAGTGGGCCTGGGACCATTTTACTTCACATGGGGCTGCGGGTACTGCTGTGTTGCCAAATCTTAGATCAGACTTTTGAAGGTGTTTGGGCACCTCACAGGATACACAAAGGCACACACATAGTGCTTTGTTTGTCTGGACCTGATCCAAAAGGGGGGTGGGCTTTGTACTGTTTAAATTTTGGGTACCTTGGCAGTAGGAATCTAGCACTGTGAAGTGCCAGGCTCTCTGTGCAGGGAAAAGAAGGATCAAGAATCTTGAGATTAAAGCCAGCTGGCACATGGAGAAAGAGACCTCTAGAGCTTGTCCATAGGGATGACCTGTCCATGGCCAGGCTGGAGAGCATACTCTGGGCTCATGGACATAGCAGTAAGGTTACTTGTGCCCCCATGAATCTTGCCCTTGACGAGGGAGGAGAACTGTCTTTCACACAGCATGGTTGTCTCTGGCCAGTGCATTTTAACTGGGCTCTGGATTTTGAAACTGTAAGGAAGAAACTTAATCTTCAGCTTCCATGTCCCAGTGATGGTTATGAAACTGTAGGAGACTGAAATGTAACTTTAAGGAGGGGATGGGGAGGAAAGATTTTAACTGTGCTTTTAGAAGAAGCTACAACCACTGCTGCAGTTTACATGGAGCCCCACAATGTGTGCAGTGTCAGACATAATATATACATGCTCAAAACATTTATTTGGTCCAGCACTGAGGGAGATGGGTAGAATTGAGCCAAGAACTTAGATTTTGCTTGCATTTATGATAGAGGTACCAAGATGCCTAGTGCTGTTCAAAGTGAGCTGCTCCTGGACATGTGCAGGAGTAAAATTGCAGACTACTTGGTCAATGCTGAGTGTCATCCAGTGTTGGGTGTTTGGTGGAATAGGTTAGCAGTATTTAGGCATTGCAGGTTTCAGATCCTAAACCCTTTGATCTAATTCTTTCTGTCTCAGTTTCCTGTTTGTAAATGTAAACAATGTTTTCTCATAGAGATTTTGTGAGGGTATCTACATTAGAAATTGTAAAACCTTGCAAGTGTCACAGATGGGTAGAAGTGTTTTAGGAGCCTGCCCTGCATAACCTGTGTAATCTGGTTAAATATGTGAAGAGCTATTGTTTTTGCAGCTCTTGTCATTCACTACTCACTTAAACAAACAGACTTATCTGGACTATTATCTTTTCCCCATATCCTCTTAGCCCTCTCATTTTTTTCTGTTTGTTTATGCACTTACTGCAGATTTTAGATCACGAGCTGTCTCAAAGAAGAACTGTAGGTTCATTGTTTGTGTGATGTCTAGTGGTCCTGATTTGGATCTGTACAAGATATTGTTGCTACTAAAAAAGTCTGATTTAGGCATGTCTGTACTATATTATGCTTTGAACTAGTTGATGTTAGTGAAAGTTTGTTTGTTTGTTTTTCTGATTTGTGTAGCGTTTCTACAAGAGAACAGCTGCGCTTGTGCTCAGAGCAATTGCTAAACATTCCCCACAGCTAGCTCAGGCAATAGTTCAGTGTGGAGCACTGGAAATGCTGGTGATTTGCTTGGAAGATTTTGATCCTGCAGTCAAAGAAGCTGCATCTTGGGCTTTTGGGTGTATTGCCCGACACAATCCAGGTAAGAAGTTTCACATGTGTTATCTTTCAGCTTAATATGATAGGATAGTTGTAATATATGGCATTGTTTTCATGTTAATAAATACAACAAGATGCTTTTTCTTCTCTATTGTTATAAACATTGAAATTTGGGATTTTTTACCCTGCTGTAACTGTGCCATTCTGACAATGCTGTACCTTTTGGGGGAAACTGGCACACCTGACACCTGGTTATGAGAGGTGCTCTGCACTGTAACTGTACCATTCTGACAATGCTGTACCTTTTGTGGGAAACTGGCACATCTGACACCTGGTTATGAGAGGTGCTCTGAGAGGAGATGCATTGGGCCTGTGGTCAGGAGAGAACACTCTGCTTTATTCTCCTTCATGAAGAGATTTCTGAATCTTTATGTATCGTGTACTTGTTACTGCAGAACAAAGTTTCTTTTGCTTGACATTAGTTCTTACTTTATATATGTAGTAGAATGAAGAGACCTAGAAAGAAGCAAGTTTCATTCAGCTTAGAGCAGTGTCTGCAGGATAAATAGGCCAAGTTCCTTGCACTGACTGTATTATAATTAGCCAGTAGACCACACTCCTCTCCGGGAGTCAGGAATAGATCCCAGGAATCCAATATCGAGCCGTTCACTGCTGTCTCACAGGCAGTTGTATAACTCACTGGCAGTGTCATGTTCCTATTTCAAAGCTGATCCACGTGGCTGATAATTCTTTTACCAGCTATTTATATAGTTCAAGTAGAAGTTTAGAACTATGAATTGAAGACCTGAGGAAACAAACTGCTGGCTGGAAGGGGTGGGAGAAACGGCTTATGTTCATATTGTTTAAACTAATTCTAGGATCATAACATTAACTCATGCTTTTACATTTGGGTTTGGCTCTGAAATGTACATAGACTGAATTTGGAAGTGATTTTCTTTCTTTTTTAATCACTAGGGAATGTTGGACTGCAGAAGGCATGGGGGATTCCCCCTTTGCATTTAGAGGGTTAACTTACTGGGACAGACTCCAAAGTTGTTAGCACCTTTCTAACAGACTGTATTTTCTGGGGAACAAATTAATTCTTGGGGCACCTCTCTGGTAAAGATCTTTTCTCTTTTGATCACCAGGTCCGAATCCCACCCTTGGTGGAAAATAATTGCTCCTTCCATCAGAAAGATATTTGTTTAAATATCAAAAGCGTTGACTTGTATAAATGTATGTTGTGTGTGTGTGTGTGTTACCCTTAACACAAACATTTCTGCAGTTTTGTTATGTCAGTAAATCAATATTGACTCACTTCAATTGCCCTTCATGCTATTCACTGCATGAATGCTGGCTGATCTTTAGGGTGATGCAGTTCACTCTGTGACAGCATTGTCTGCAAAGATGGAGGTGATGTTGAGGGTATTGAAGACAACAAACTCCTTGTACAAATTTTTATTCCGTGGTTATGAATAATTGATTCACTGGTGGTGAATGGGTGCATACCTTATGTCAATTTACCAGAGCATTTTCAGAAATTAGGTTGAAATTGTGAGTGCTAGCAAGCTGCAAGCATCGGGACATAAACAGATCCCTAGATGTGATCAGTAAAACAAAACAAAACAAAACCCCACCAAAAGAAACCTGAAAAAAATTGTTCTTCCTCTGCCCAGCTACAGTTAATTTAGGGGATTTACCTTCCTCTGTAACGGAGTCACAGGAAGTCTCTAAAATTATTATTGAAAGTAGAGGAGCTATACTGAAAAAAGGTCCTTCTGTGCATGTTTCTTACACTCCTACAAGCATGTCTTTGCAACAGGATATTGTTGGAGATGGGATACAAAGATAGGTGAACTTTTTCCTACCAACATCTGGTGTTTACTGCTCAAGGAGCTCTGGATTAGACTCACATGCTCGCGTTGACAAAATTTGGCAGTTATGATTTTTCTGTCATTGACTGTCTGTGGACACGTATTGCAGCTTTAACTCTAAAAATAGAGCTGGGTGTGAAGTGGTTTTCCCCACCCACAAAGGGTTTTTTCAGTTTCAAAAATTATTTCAGTTCCAAACTGGGACAATATTAAAGCAAAATTTCTTTTTCTCTCTCCTGAAAAGACTAGGGGTTAGGGAGGTTTATTTGCTCCAGCAAGAAAAGTTTGATAATTAGGGCATATGTCTGGGATGTATGTGGAAGACATTAAAATTCTGATCTGTCTTAGGCAGGATGTGAATCTCTGTCTTCCTGAGTGCAAGCAAAGGTTCACAGTATTCAGTGATAACTGTTTGCAGTGGTGAAGGTCTCTCTGCTTTAAATCAGAAATTCCATCCATAACCTGGTAAAGCTGCTCTCTAAGAACTGCAGTGTATGTTCTCATGAAAAGACTTCCATTTTGAGAAATCAAGAGGTCTTTTTAAATTTTTATTTTCCTTTTTTATTTCCTGATGAAAACATGCTCTGGTTAGCGAGTTCCATACTGACTTCATACAACAATCTCTTGAAATGCAGTTCTTCTGTGAACAGGTGTCTCCTGAAGGCCTGTGAGATTTTAGGTCAAGACAGATGTCTCATGAGATTTCAAGACACTAGAAATCTTGCCAGGTCAAATTTCAAAATTCAGGAACAGCTCTTGCAGTTGTGTTCTTTCTCAAAGATCCCTTTGAGGGATCTGAATTTCAGATGCTGATCTTACTCCAAAGGGAACAGATCAGTGTGATGTAATTTTGCCATTCATTACTTTTACCATTTGTGTTTAAAAAGGAGTGTAAAGTGTTTCAAATACCATCAAAATACCATCAGGTCCATGAAAAATATTTTGTAAATATTTACTTATACCATATTAATTTACTTTTAAAATGAAAAATTCTTTCATTTGAAGCACACAAATAACTTGGTTTTCCATTTTCTTTGCCTACATTAAAGGTGCAGTTTATTAATTGTCTCATACCTGCTTCAATATGTTGTAAATTGGTAGGAAAACAAAAAAAACTAACGCCATTTATATCGAAGCATATTGCTGAGAGCAGAGTTCTGCTCATTTTCTGTCATACAGTGGTACCCTTTGGATCACAGGATAGCTCAGCTTGGAAGGGACCTTGGGAGGTTTCTGGTCCAGCTTTCTGCTCAAAGCAGCATCACATGAAAGGTTACACCATCATCTCTTCAGTGATCTGAGTCTTCTCCTGATGAGAGGTTTTCTCACTGGTTCTGGTGGAATTGTTAGCACTGTGCTGGCATAAACCTGTGATTTTAAGTGCAGCCTTTGGGCTCCTTGTGAGGATTAGAGTCTTCCTGTGTGGCCATTACATGATCACACAGTCCTCAGAAAAATACAGTATTGGTGGTTGCTTTGGTCAAACCCTGTTATTTCCTGTGGATACACCTGCTGCCACAGCAGGGTCTGTTCAAGAACCCTGGTCTGAACTGAAACTTGTGTTTGCTCTCAACCAAAGGTTTTGCTGCTGCTCCACTATATCAATGTATTGTTCAGAGCTGATTTTCCTTCTCTGGGGACTACCTGCCCAGTCACTTTCTCACCTTCATCTTTTTTTCACTGAGCTTTTTTTTATCCATACTACTATTGCCAATGTGTTAACATTCATATGTTTTGGGTTTTTTTGACACTTTAAACCTGTTTAGAATAATCCTGTAAGACTTCCCATTGATTTCACTGGATATGTAGTTAGGATCTTGGCTCCTCTTTATCAGCTTTCCACTTTTCCTGGTCACATAAGCTCATGACTAGGCCTCAACTCACTTTGAATTAATTTCTTAGTCCCTGATGAGTAGTTTTGTATTGACACAAATCACTGCAACTCTAGAACAACTTCTAGTTGAACTAGTGACATCTTAAACTCCAAAGACTGTCTTTATCGATCTTTCTTCTACATCCATTTCAGTCTGTGTTCTTGTCTGCAGTACTTACATTTGCTAAAAGCTTCCTCATGTTGTTCTGGGCAAAAGCAACTAATTTATGGATGGTTTTGAGCCACAGTTCTCTTGTCTCTGGGCATATGTGGAATTATATTTTCTACTTTCACTCATGTAGGGAGAAGTCCAGCTATAAAGCAGTTGGACAGGCTCCTTGAGCTGTACCATGAAGCAAACTTTCAAGCCCAGGGTTGTCATAACCTTCTGCAGAATTAAATGAGGTTCATACATTAGTTTTTCTCTGCTGTCTTTCTCCTCTTCAGCCATGAGTCTTGTCTTTGCCCTTATAATGTAGCCTTGGCATACTATTTGGAAAAGTCTTTGTGTATTTTGTTCCAGCTCTTCTAAATTTTTTGACTGAATATTTGTTTTTAAAAATTTCTTCTAAAAATTTCTTCCTGACAACTTTGTTTTCTCCTCTAACTCCTTCTCAGTCTTCATGTTTTTCCACCTCTCTCTGTGTTTGTAGTTGAATAGCAAAATTTCATGAATCCTTTGGTGTATAGTCTGAACAAAAGATGTTCTACCGAGTAGGAAGGTTAATTGAGCCTTTTCTTGAGAAAAAAAGAGAATTATAATTATAATAGTCATTAATACTTAGAATTATAATTTTGGGCTGAGTTTGCAGGGAAATTTGATGGGAAGTTCTGTATTTTCTTTTTTCCCCTGCCTCAGCTTTTCTGTTTATCTGACAGTCTGTTTACGACTTGTCTGTCTTTTGACACATGGCCCAGCCCTCCATGGGGTAAGTTATTAGCCATGAACCTTATAAACACCACTGGAAGAGCAACCATTTAATTACCCATGACCAACAGTAACCATCAGTATTTAAATGATATCAGACTTCTAACAGCAAGAGCTGATCTAAATTGAATCAGATTCAGTTTGCTCTTTTAAAATAACTTTTGCAAGTTTCTTTTGCATGCCAAGATGTAGCTGTGACCTTAAAGAATTGCTCTTTCTCTCCCTGCTGGAACTTCATGATTTCAGCTCATAAGGCATTAAAGAAACTCAATCTTCTAGTTAGTACCTTGTCCCTCTCGACATCACGTTCTTGATGTTGGCATCTCCTAGCAGGTTGTAGGCAATGGAGTTGGGTACTCTGAAGTTGCTGCTGAGGTGCAGTTGGATGGGTTAATCTGGGCTGTTGGTCAGTAGCCCATGATGTCTTGCACTTGGGCAGTGCACAGCATCAGAACACGATTTGGGGAAATCAAGTATAGCTTTTCCCATGAAAAGCTGCAGCTTATACCACTTATATCGATTAGCTAGTTCTCAGATTGGTTTTCAGATATGTTTCAGGTACATTTAATTTCAAATTTGTAAGACTGAAGATGCAGCATTTGAGTTTTGTTTATTTGTGTGTTTTGAGGATGCACGTGCTACGTTTCCTGTCAAATAGTTATTTGAAAAGTGAACCTTGAGAGGTTAGTTTTGTATTCCTTAAAAATTTCTAAAGGATTAAATATAATTTTGTGATGTAACATTTGTGTTTTCTTTAAAATATTGTATCATAAAACAACATACAGTGTAAATATTTGACTTATCATATATATTGAAGTGTGTGGCTATAACCTACTAATTGAAAACAAATCTGGTCTGGAACATTATTTGGATATTAACAACATAATGATGACATGACTTACAGATTTCATGAAAAACTATATTAGTCTATGTATATTTAATGAACTATGCTATATTTTTCTTAGTAAGAAAATCTCTTTATGGATGGACTATAAATCAAAAGCTAAGTTAGAGTCCTGAAATACAACAGCCATATGTTGCCATGGTACTGTAAGTCAAGATAAATGTTAAAGATAATAATGGATATGCATAATAAGGTGTAGCAAAACTGAACTAAGAACCTAATAGATTATCGAATCCCCTGTGATTTTTTTACCACTTTTTCCACACTATTTTAAAATAGCACAGCTTGGTTATAATATAAATTTTGCTTCTGATATCCAGTAATTCTTATTTTAGGACTGTGATTAATGCTGCATACACAGAGAGAGCTAATGAATTTCTAACGGTGTAATTTTTGTCCATGTCAGCTAATCATATGCTCAGACTTTTTTCTTTTTTCTCTTTATTTAAGGTGCAGTTAGTTAAGAATATTGTACTAATCTCAGGCACACAGTATCTCACTGATGATATTTCTCATTTGTCTAATTGTGTACGATAACATTTTTATGTCATTAAAGTATAGATTCTGTCTCATCTCATGTATGGTAGCAAAGACTAGTTTTGATCAGCAAGTTCCATTTTTCCCATCTTTTATGGAAGATAAATCTTTTATGTATGTTTTTTTGTATTTCTGTTTTTGGCATTTGATCTATGCTAATATCTGCTTATCATTTAAAGAGGGTAAAACGCTCTCTAATTAGGTGGTTGGTAAAATTTTGGTACTTTGGCTTTCTGTGTTGTTGTTAGCCATGCATAAAATGCTTTCCTATTGATCAGTGTAGAATAGCCAGGGTTTAAACAGCTGACATCTGCTTACTTTAAAAAAGGAAAAAGAAAACAGAATAACAAACCATTTCAGCCTAATCTACCTCAAATGTGTGCATGTAAATGGGGGTCCATCTATTGACCTGCATTCTTTTCAGCCCTGGATTGGTCCACACGGTTTATGAAACCAGGAGGGCTGATTTGAAATGCAGATGTCGAGACAGTGAACTACACCCTCCCCTTTTTCCTTTGCTGTATCTGTCAGGGTGAAAAATGGCTTGCACAAGGGTCAGTCACCCATACTCACTTAATTACTTTCCTTGGACCTACAGAACTGTCACAAGCTGTGGTGGATGCAGGCGCTGTTCCTCTGTTAGTGCTCTGTATCCAGGAGCCAGAAATTGCTTTGAAAAGGATTGCAGCTTCAACTCTCAGTGATATTTCAAAGCATTCTCCAGAGTTAGCACAGACAGTAGTGGATGCAGGAGCTATCGCTCACTTAGCTCAGATGATCCTGAACCCTGATGCTAAACTGAAGGTACATTTAATTATTTTTTTTTTTTAATCTCCATGATACCAGTCATTACTTGATATTGAATCAAAGACACTGATGTGCATATTTGTTTAGAAGCTCTAAATAAATGTTTGGGTGTGAACAAAATGTGACTACGCAGTTAGTGACAAAGAGTTCTGGACATATTCACCAATTTAGCTACGGGATAAAAACTGCAGCTCTGTGAGGGACAACTAAACTTTAAAGTGAATAGTGTGAATTTTTTAAAAATATGTAGGATATGAAGAATGCAACAGATATTTTGAGTAGATAAAATTTGCACATTTCAGTGACAAAAAAGGGTTTGCATCCTTAAGATTATATAATAAATTAGTTAATAGTAAATATATTATTGCATTTGAGAGTGTACTATCTGTTGTCAGTAGCTGTTGTCAAAGGTTTAATCACTGAAGTTTAACTGACAAAAAATTGTTTCTTAGTGTAATTTTATTACTCTAACAGAAACAGAAAACAATATAAAAATGCTACTTGAAACAAATGGATAAAAATTCCTTAATATAAGATCAGACAGATCCAACTTATGCAAATAAAGATACTTTCTATAGACTTTAATAAATTTTAAATTACAGTTCTAAATGGTATATATATTTTTTCTTTTTTTAATACATAGCAAGCTTGAACGGGATAAAACAAAGGAGAAACTTTTATTCAGGAACCAGCGAATGTTCTGTGCCATTATATTCGTGCATGAATTGACTCAGTGAATTGTAAAATAGCTGTAATTGTTTTCCCTATCCTGCTTTGTTTTCCTTGATGCAATAGATTTTTGTGTGCAGGGGGTGTGTGTTGTGGGATGTTTGTATAACATTGATTTTATAACAATTTTTCTTTACTAGCGTCAGGTGCTGTCAGCTCTAAGCCAAATAGCAAAGCATTCAGTGGATCTTGCAGAGTTGGTGGTTGAAGCAGAAATTTTCCCAGTTGTGTTCACATGCCTGAAGGACTCAGATGACTATGTCAAGAAAAATGGTGCAACTTTAATTAGAGAGATAGCAAAGCATACGCCTGAGGTAAAACCTTGAAAATGCAAATACAAGGTCATATCATTAGATTTTACACTTTAAATAAAATACAGGATTATTCTGTCATTTGCTTTTCGAAAAGGAGGGCAAATAGCTGTTTGGCATGTTCATTGGAAAATATGGAAATGCTTGCTGATATTATGAGATGTGTATTGAATATGAATTGGGTTAGGAAACTGGGAATCATAAAATGTATACCCAGCTACTTCATTCCATAAGATATCAGCACAGAGAGGGAGTTCTAGGCTGACAGTATTGTCAGTCCTAGATATTAAAAATACCATGAGAAAAGCCTCACAGAAGTCATGATAGCAGCTAATAAATGGCAAGATCATCCTGTAACACTAATAGATGGTGTCTTTTAAAAAAATCTTCTGCAGTGCTAGGATCACATTTTAATTATTTTTTCAGTGACAGCGAAGGTCAGAAATTCTCTTATTTATTATTAAACTTGATGGTAGTTTCTGTTTTCAGCTTGAGTTTGTAATTTGAGTCTCAGCATTCGCAGTGTTTTTGCCAATAGCTGATACAGGAAGGTGAGGATTTTGGCAAAGTCAATACAAAACAAATAGGAAAACCAAATAATGATAACCATGTTAATATGTCAGACCATAGAGATAATTAAAAGGCTCTAAACATGACAATGTATTTGTGGCAGATGCTAATGCTGAGCACAGCCATTTCCAAATCATGACACTATCTTAGCAGCTCAGGAGTGTTTAAACACCAATGCTGTGATGTTCCTTCAGCCTGCCACTCTTTGAGCTGGTGATTAAAGGTTACAGCCTTGACACATTTCCTGCTTTCTTTCTGCACCTCATGGGCCAAGCAACTTCACTTCCTCAAGCAAGTGAAGAAATTATCATTATCAGAGCAGGGCACTAGAGTCAGGAGCCAGAGACCAAACCCACAGCACTGCAGCTGAAGTGAGAATTGCTGCCAGCACTGGATCCTCCGTGCACAGGGAGTTGGCCATGCTAGAGCTCTCCAAAGGAGCTGTTGGAAGTATCTTGGTGACTCCCAGTGAGGAGTCACAATCCATGTTTGGCTTCAGAGTGACAGTGATCACTGACCATCTCTGGGCACTGTGTGCTACAGGAGAGACAGACTGGCAAAGGATATTTCTAGAGGACTTGGCTGTGTCTTTTGAGAGCTGTGGCTTTTGGACCTCAGCTCTCTCTCTGCACATGCAGTAAAACTCCTGTGAAGTCAGTCCATGGGGCACTTTCAGCACTGGGGAGTGTGTCTGCACAGGAGCTCTGTGCACGTGGCTGGGCATGAACACAGGACATGGTTATCACTGGCTGCACTTCACAATCAGGTGAACAGCTTTTCCTAAGGAATAACTGTAAATTTCATCTGCCTGTTTCATGAATAAAACATGATAAAGGCTCTAAGGCAAAGGTGGATTTCATGTTTATAAAAATCAACTGGATTGGAAATCCACATGCCTCCGTTTTGTTCATTTAATTTTGATTTCTAAGGACATGTTTCTTTTGCTTTGGAATCTTTAGGGAAAATGGGATAGACCTAACAAAATGAAATGAAATAATCATAATATGAAATGATTGTAATTTATATGCACTGTTGATATCATACATACTCTATTGCTGTCCTTCAAGTGATGTGAGAAGTGATACTTTTTGGAAAGAAACATGTTGCATAGCTTGATTATAATTTATAAGCAAGGCTACATAATTCTGGGGAATACCACATACTCCACTGCCCATCCAGTGTGTTCCCTGGACACTTCCCTCGGACAGAATGGTGCAGTCCAAGTCAGTTTGGCACATCCAGAACAGTTGTCTTTGGTTTCATGCCTCAGTGGGAGGATCCAGAAAGGGTTTGATGCCACAGAGGTTTAGAATGCAGGTGAGAGGGGGAATGGGCCTAGTATGAAGCAGTATCTGTCTCAGTGGGTATGTCTTTGAGGACAGTTGTGTATTAGGCTGTCATTTACATGTTTCTTTCTTGTATGATGATGGGGTTGAGAATATGTCATTCCATGCTATACAGCACCAAGAATTCAGAATCCTGATTTCCTTGCAGTAAAGTCAATCAAAAACACAGTAGCAAATCCAGTTCATTGCTGGAAATTCAGTGCCCAACAGTTTGTAGAATTTTGTAAATCAGGAACAACACATTAAAAGCCTTTTCTAATGTAGCACTTTAAGCCTGTTGATACTTCACAGCGTCTAATCTCTTCTGTTTCTCTCTTCAGCTTTCACAGCTTATAGTCAATTCAGGAGGAGCTGCTGCTGTGATTGATTGTATTGGCAGCTGCAGAGGGACTGTCAGGCTGCCTGGCATCATGATGCTTGGTTATGTAGCAGCTCACTCGGAGAACCTGTCAATGGCAGTGATTGTCTCCAAGGTTAGCTATCACTTCGTTCTTTGTATAATTCTTCAGTGTTATTCTGAGACATACAAATTAACGTAGGCAGAGAATGTATTTTGTGACAGAATTATATACTTGATGAGTGCAGTCTCCTAATATTGCTGCTTGCTATGACTGAAATGATGTGGTAACCTGATCAAAGTGGGTCTTGATGATGTTGAACCTTTCATAAAATATCCTGGATTAGTTTGTGAGCGTCCATTGTATTACAGGGTGTGATTTTCCCACGTTGCACTTGCATGGGTATGGAAAACAAGTCAGTGAATATATATGGTCTGCTTCCTCTTAAAATGAATATTTGTGGCTGCATCAAAACCTTTTCTGAAACAAATGTGTTTAATGGTATGTTCTTCACTGCACTCACATGACTCTGCTAGTGCCACTAGAGCATCTTGGAACAGAAATCAGATTTGGAAAAACCTCAGTTTCTAATGTAGTGTGGTTTGATTCAGTTGTGCAAGTGACATTTCAGATGAGATAAGCTATACATTTTTAGGTTTAAATAAATTCTGCTGGGCAATGATATAGAAGGGAGAGAATTTGCAACATTTGCAATATGTGAAATTAGTGCCTGACATAATAGTCTGACTTGAATAATGCTAACTAATGACAGAAGGAAGGAAATAATTTCACTGACATTTTTGGCCCATTTTCACACTATGTCAGACACTTAAAATATCCTGTATGAGTGGAAACAGCAAAACAATATAAACAGAGGAACAGAAATGTTTTCTAGTAGGAATGCAAGTTAAAAAGTGAAAATTGCTCCAATATAGCATATAACAAGGAAGGTAGGAGTGATCAAAATATCCTGCCCTTCTGTATTTTAAGACTAAAGAAGTAGACAACTTTTTTTCTTGGCCTCTCTGGAGGTCCTTCTTCTCTGGTTGTGTCTGTCTCTCCATTTTCAGGGAGTGTTCAATGTTAAGTGGGATGAATCCAGGATTAGGTTCATGAGGAAGTCCTAAGTGATAAATTTTTGAAGAGTAGTAATGATTCCTATCATAACTGAATGGAACTACAGTGAGAGCTTTTGCAGGGATCTGTGCAAACTTTAATGAAATTAAATATGTTAATGAAAGATCCATAAAAGAAACCCAAATAAACCCAAAACCCATTAAAAAAATTGCTTCAGGGGAAACTAAGCTTGTGGAGCAGTACACAGTGCTGAGAACAGGGCTTGGTAAACTGGAACCATTTGAAAGAAATGCACTGTGGCATAGCCACATGCAGCTACATGCTGATGATGTTAGGGTGTAAAGTGATAGCTGCATTCCATGCTGCTCTAAGCTGGAAAGGATGAATCTTGAAAAATGATTCTTGGGGTCATACTGGACAAACACTTCATTGTGGTCTGCTGTAGTGCAGCAGCAAAAAAAAACCCCAAACCCCAAACCCAACCAATTTAGTCCTTTGTGGTATTAAAGAATAGAAGATGAAGCATTACTGGAAAAGATAAATTAATCTGTCTGTTGTAGTAGTGTGTGTAGTGTGTATAGTGTATATAAGATGTTGCAAAAAAAACCCCAAACCAAAACAGGAAACAAACTGAAAAATGCGCAAAAAAGACTTAAAATGATCCATGGAATGGAGAAAAAGTTTTTCTGGTAGAGATTTAGTAACCTTGCCTTACCTAAAGTAGAATAAAATGTTTCCTGTTGAAGTAACTTGGGATAAAATATCAGCTGCTAAGTAGCTGTAGAGAAAGGATAAAGACTGTGACTCTGTACCAGAAGAACTTCAGTAACAGCTGGATGTGAGATGGTATTTTCCATCTCTTTATGTCTTCTAATCAAGAGTTGAAACCTTTCTGGAAGTGAGTGGATGAGTCAAACATGAACTACTGGACTCAAGAAGAGGTTGATCAGTTGAAATTTAGTGCTGTGGCTAATAAAAAAGAAAGACTCAGTGATTGAGCCCTTATGGCTTTTAACTGCTTTCATAGATGCATAAGCACTCAAATTCTTTCATTTTCAGTCTGACAAAACTGCTGCCTTTAGTCACTACAGCTTGAATTATGTCATGTATTCCTTTTATCCCTTATATTTGTGTGTTGGTTCATGCTGCCTTCTGACTTAAAACATTGAATCTAGTTCTTTTTCTTTATTTCTTAAGATTTATTACAAATTCTGGCTAGTCATGATGACGTAAAAATATGACACCACTGGCATGTTTTCCCTTACAGCTTATTGGAGAAAAAGTGTGTACATTGAGAAATGTTTTCTAACAACCTGTATCAGTTTCACATTGTCCTTCCCTGGTCTACATTGGTAAAAGTTGTGCTTTTGATTAATGCTACAGGGAATACCAGCACTGTGTGCCTGCTTGGGAGAAGAAGAAGATCATATTAAGGCAGCAGCTGTTTGGGCTTTGGGACAGATTGGAAGACACACTTCTGAGCACGCACGTCATGTGGCAGTAGAAAATGTCCTGCCCACACTGCTCCATATCTATATGAGCATACAGAGCTCAGAAGATCTTAAAATTAAAGCAAGTATATTTGTAGTATTTACAGCATGCTGTATTAATTGTAATCAAGAGGTTTAAGTGCTTAAAAGCTGCTAAATGCTGTGTGTTTTTATTGACATCCATTGAGTCACAGATGCCTGAGTGCTGTGTCATTCATTAGGGCTGGCTGGGCCTGATAGGTGTGCATATGGTACATACAATTCCTATGGTACACCTACTGCAGTCTACTCCCTTATTTTTTCCTCAGTTTAGGTCAGAGCTGCATACACTCATAAAAGCTAGAATTTCTAGTGAATGACTAATTTCTAATTATCTACTGCTTTTTTTTTTGTACATATATGCTTTTTTAGAAAATATTGCAGCCCTTGTAGTAGTTTGGCTTGCATTTTTATGATTATAATGAAACTGTAACAGCTAATCAAAGATCCCCTCTTGAAAACATGCAAATGTCCATGTTTAGGGCCCTCCTTGTGTGGGAGCTAGTAGAGCTGCAGTTTAGTAAAGTGTATTTTTGAGCAACAGTAAGTGGACCAGCTGAAGAGTATGGCAGGATATGCTCTCCCACATCACTCTATGCTTCTGTACATTCCACTGAAATATAACATTCCAGATCTGTAAAGTAACTCCTGTGTAGTAATTTTCAGTGGTTCTCAGAATATCAAGGCCAAATTAGTTGTACCTCTAATCCAAGAAGGTCACTACTGCTTGTAGGAGTCAACACTGAGTCTGTTTTCAGAAACCAAACACCAGTGCACAATCATTTCACTCTCTCTTTCCACCTGCCTGGACTGCACTTTACTATCCCAGAACAACAGCCTCTTCTAAAATACAATCTTTTAAAATGTGTTTTGATTTAACTTTCTTATTATATTACAGTACTTCAATTTACTTAAAGGGTCTATTCCTGCTTCCATTACAGTCAAAGGAAAATTGCCATTACTTTGGCCTTAGATAACGTAATAAGAATATGATGCGCTGTAGCTTTTGAGGTTTAATAAATCTAAGTAGAAAATTGATTCTTCATTAAGTGACCTGATAGATATCATAGTATTTATTCAGAAAATGCTCATTGAAAATTCTGATCAATTTGCTTTTTTGATCTGACTTCAGTGATATATAACATGAATTCTTGCTGTTTTCGTTGATGTCTTACTAGAGAAATTTTATTTTGCATTTCAATAGGCTAAAAATGCCTTAAAGAGCATTCTTCAGAAATGCACATATCTTCCAGCACTTGAACCACTGCTGCATGATGCTCCTCCCAATATTATGAAACATATACTTGGGCAGTTTGGTAAGGTAAGAAAAGGCTCTGCTTACAAGTAATATGTTAATTGTTCCCCATTTAGCAAGGAAAATATCTTTCCAAAGATGAAGTTTCCCTAAAGGTCTCAGTTGTTTTCTCAGCATCCTCAAGCAACCCCTTCAAAAGCAGTTTGGAGCATCCTGTTCTTTTGTCTGATACAGCTGGATACTGTTTCGTCTGGAATCTGCCATAATTCATCCTAAGACTGGGAAAACAGTTGCTTATAAGCAAGGTGTTTTTTTCTTCCTTGCCTCTTGAGATTAAGTGGAATATTAACTCACGTGCAAATATTTTCACAGAGCCAATGTATCACATAAATCCCAGTCACATCTGTTTTAGATAAAGCACAAGCTGTCTGTACAGGAGTGACTTAAGTCAGGTATTTTACAATAATAGAAAGGCTTCACTGCTTTTATCCTCATTAATTTTCACTCTCAAATAAGTGTAAAAATCCCAAATCTTTTCTTGTCTCTCTCAAAATTTGAAAGTTAGTTGTTAATTGCATTGCTGGTTTGAATGCAGCACGTAGAAAGTGACACAATTTAATCAAAATGTTTGAAATTATTAAGGTAATTGCTAACTAATTGGGAGATTTGCAGTGTCTGCCATGTTCACCAGATGCTGGGAATCCTGCTCAACTCTCGACTAGATTCTGCAGTGTAGCCTGCTGGCAGGGGATACACCTCACTGTTGGTGAGATGTTTCTGGAAATGGCCAAGTAAAACACCCTTGATACTTGGGTCTGATTACTACAGATCTGGAAGCTGTTGGTGGTGCAGAGTCCTGATTACATTGCCACAGTTAGGTGTGTCCTGTCTTCTTGCTAAGCCTGTACAGAGACTGGAGATTTGCACAGAATCCAGTGCCTTTTGCTTCTGCATACTGACTGGAGCTATTAATGAGCCGAGTGCATAGCAATTGGTTATCCAGTGCATATTTTGAATGTTGTTTACTGTTGAAGTGGTTTTGTGCCCTTCATATCAGCTGACGTTTTGTTCATGTTTCTTCTTTGTCTGTATGGTATTAAACAAACTCTGCTTGTCTGGCATTTGCTCTTCTGAAGTATACTTTTAAAATTAAGTTTTCTGTAGTAAAAGCATTTTTCTCTCCTGTACCATAGCTTGGGAATTTCCTATTCTTAGAGCTGTGCTGTATTGCTTCTGTGGGCTTATTTATAGCACAGTAAAAGCCTTATTTCCAAGCTGTGCTTCAGAGTGGGATGGTATCCGTTCGTGGTGCTGGACTGTGTCATTTTAGCATTAGTGTTTTCAGGGTCTGTGCAGTTCTGTGCTGTCTCAGCTTGGACTGGGGGGAGGGGACTGTGTCTCAGAGGTGCTGTCTGTCTTTAGGGCCTCCTGGAAGAGAGTTTTCTGCTGTCTTATCCAGCCTGGGAGTCACAGTGTGGAGGAGGAAGAAAGAGAAAGAGCCATATCCTGTCTCCTTGCTAGTTCCTCCTTGGCAATTCTTGTTGTGGGAGATATGTGAAAACAGGCATCTCTGCAGTTCCCACAACAAAAAGATCACAGTTGTTCACGACACTCCTATGGAGCATATATATAATAGGTAGAAGTCCTGTGTTCACTTTACCTGTCTGTTGATTTTGTACAGCCCAGAGGGACCAGAGAAATGAACACTGTGCCTGTATGCATGGAAAAAATTTTCTTCATCCTTTTGGGCAATCCCTTCCTCATTTGAGGCTCTTGTTTTACACTGAAGTACAGTCAAATATATGCCTTAATTTGCCTGACCAGTGTGATAGCTTACAAAATGCTTTTGCCCCCATAGCCTGTAACTCTCAGAGTTAGTTTAAAAACCCATCTGGTTTTGTTGTAGATGCAGCTGACGTCTCACATTATCTTTCTGTCTTTTTTTTTCCTTTTTCTTTTTCTTTTTTTTTTTTTTTTAATATTATTGCAACCCTGTGGGCCTATGGGCTCCATGCTGTCATTCTCCCTCGCCTGGCCCAGCCCCCACCTCCTTCCCTCCCTCCATCTCTCCCTCCCTCCCTCCCATCCTCTGGACAGAGCTGCGTATTGGCATCACTCAGGGAGCACAGAATGTTATTGTCTGATCATTTCTGCTTCTCATCCCCTTTGGCTGCAAAAACTTCACGTTTTTGCTTTGTGTGTGTGTTTGTAAAAGGCTTCCATGGCTACACAGTGTGTTAAAGGATTTTAATATCTAGGAATTTAGTAGCAGCATGTAATGCTTCAAGGCTGCATTGTTCACTTGCAACAATTCTCAGTATTGTTTTCATGCGCTAATCTATACTAGATCATTAGAATGATATAAAATTCTGCTCTACAATTAAACTGTGGGAATTGACATAAAAGACCTGAATAACTTGGTTTAAGTGGAACAGATGCTGTTGTTATTCCATGTTAGTGTTCTGGTTTTATTATCTATTTAATCTCTGCAATCTTATTGTCTCCATAGGAATAATTCAAGCAATATTATTTATGTTAAGATAAATATTCACTTCATTATTTTTATATATGTTATGTATTAAAATACATGTTAAATTACGTTGTAACCATCAAGGGCTGGCTTATGATTTTTTTTCCCCTTTACAACTGGGTGTTATAATACAGTCAGTAATCATTACAGCTGTGGTATCTCTGATTTTCTATGTTATCTGTCCTCTGAATTAAAAATAGATAAACAGTATTTGAGCCGAGTAGCATACAGATTCATTTAAAAGAAAAAAATTCCTTTTTTTTAATGTACTATTCCATGTGTAGGTGTTGCCACATGACAGTAAAGCACGTCGTCTCTTTGTAACAACCGGTGGACTTAAAAAGGTTCAAGAAATAAAAGCAGAACCTGGGTCACTTCTTCAGGAATATATCAACGCTATTAACAATTGCTATCCAGAGGAAATAGTGAGGTAGGGAAAATGAAATTTATAAAATTGATACTTATGACATTGTTAGATGTTTATCATAGGAACAACACAAAGGAAGGATTTAAAATAGGAATTTAACTTGTATATGAATTTTGTTTTTAAGAAAACAACATAACATTTAGTCAACTGTCCCAGTGGTAACACAACCACTAGACACATACATTTGAACACTTTCTCTCTTTGGGTTTCTTTTTGGAAACAAATTTCTTTGTCTGTGAACAAAGCCCAAATAATCAGGTGCTTTCAGGAAACTGGGAAGAAAAGTCAGTCCTGTACTACCCAGATGGACTCAGAGCCTTCAGTGCAACCATTCTCATATTAATGAGTCTGTGGGAAGTTTAGTTTATTTTGGTAACTTATTTATGGATTACTTAGGCTCCAAAATTCAGGTATTGGTGAACCTTTGGGTGCATCCTTGACTTTCCTAATAGTGTGTCTGAACGAGTGTGTTCAGAGGCTCCTTTGAAACCTCCTCTGATGTACAGAGGGTCCAGAGACTCTCCTGCACAGTTGGTCTGCCCACAGCTGCCCTTCCTCCCCCAGCCTCATCACGAGGCTTAAGTGTTATATAAAAGGACCATACACCAGCTGTCTGCACCAAGTTGAACTTTGCCCTTAATGAATACAGAAACACTATTAAATAGCTTACAGTCAAAATGTCACCGTCCTAAATTGTAATAATGAGAGAAATGCCCTCCTAGATTCTAGATATCCATTTACCAGTCCTTCACTCCATCAACACATCAAAAGGATGTGGTACTCGTGCACTCCCTCTACAGGCTCTGAAAATCTGCATCATCAATTTTAATTAGAGCAGCAGAGTTCTTCAGCTAATGGTAGCTACAAACTAAGTCTGTAGCTACCATTATGAAGCCCTGTTTGTTTCCTAAAGGAAAATGGTAGCTCTAAGTCAAACAAAATGAAGCCCTGTTTGTTTCCTAAAGGAAACTTGCTGTCAAATGGGTAAAACCAAAATCATAAAGAAACTTAATTTTGCTGCTAATACTTTGGAGGTAAAGAGGACATTAACTTATGCTTTTCTGGATGTTGTTAATGGTTCTTTGTTACAGCTATTCTTTTTTCCCTGTAAATGAAACAGGGTTATTCATCTAAAACAAAATGAAGCCCTGTTTGTTTCCTAAAGGAAACTTGCTGTCAAATGGGTAAAACCAAAATCATAAAGAAACTTAATTTTGCTGCTAATACTTTGGAGGTAAAGAGGACATTAACTTATGCTTTTCTGGATGTTGTTAATGGTTCTTTGTTACAGCTATTCTTTTTTCCCTGTAAATGAAACAGGGTTATTCATCTAGGCTGGGATGTAATAAAGAAAAAGGGCCCTTCCAGCATCTCCTGCTTGTCTCTCTGTGCTACTGCCTGATGGTTGTGCTGCCTGAGGCACAGCAGCTATGACAGACTCCAGCTCTGGGTTTGTCCTGGAGACCTGTTATTTTAGGCTGTTTGCAGGCAGAATATGCATTGGACAGTTACAATCAGAGAACTAATAGGAGTTTTAAAAAGAGTTATATTATGCAGAAATAATCCAGAAAAAGAAAATCAAAAAGGTATAAATGGATCTGCCTTCAATGGAAAACATGAGGGATTTCTACTTGAATATATTTTAGGCATTCATTACATGGAGGTGTGTTCCTTCCTCTGTCTTTATATTTGAAGCTTCCAGGGCTCAGAGATGGCAATTTACATGCCTGCAAACCCAGAAATGTACCCAGATGTATGTTTTTAGAATAACACAGTAATACATTTCAGATACTTGTAACCTGGAAAATGAGAACTAAATACAGCTTTGATGCTTGCGTATTGGAAGCATGTAGGTGGTCCAGTGTGGAAAACCAGCTGAATGACAGCAGGACAATAATGGCACCATAGAGTCCTACTCTAATGAAAACTTGCTGGATAATCTCCATCCTTGAGTTGGCATTAGAGAGAGAAGGTCATCGTGATAATTTTTTTTGTTCCAGAGTCATTGTCTCTCACATGGATGTAGGCTTCACATTAGCTTTGGGGTGTGTGCTTGTGTTTGAAGAACAGCAGCAGACTATTGTTGTCTGGCAGCCTACTGTTCTGTGTAAGCTCATGCTTTTTATTAGAGGCCATAATTTCAAAAGAAGTTAACATCTGCATATCTAAGTAAGGACAGTGCTTATGGCTGGACTGACCCTATGACTAGCCACTTACCTACATGCCCTAGAAGAAGCTAAGCATGTTTTTGAAAACCTGAGGTCTAAGTATTAATGAAAATGTAAGTTGAAGAGCAGGTTCTTAAAATATTGTAAAAGAGCAACTGGAGAATTCCTTGTCCAGTGCTTAATGCTAGGATTTTCTCCTGATCAATAGAAATATGCATAGTTTCATTACTTTACACGCAACATGCCTACCTACATGCCCTAGAAGAAGCTAAGCATGTTTTTGAAAACCTGAGGTCTAAGTATTAATGAAAATGTAAGTTGAAGAGCAGGTTCTTAAAATATTGTAAAAGAGCAACTGGAGAATTCCTTGTCCAGTGCTTAATGCTAGGATTTTCTCCTGATCAATAGAAATATGCATAGTTTCATTACTTTACACGCAACATGCCTTGTAGTCTAACGCACAAACGAAATGTTTCTCTTTCAGGTATTATTCCCCTGGATATTCTGAGGTACTTCTGGAGAGGGTGGAAAAGTACCAACCAGTTTTATAAACGTCAGCGTGTTATTCGAGCTGCATTTCACATTTGTGGCTTTATGACTGTCATACAAATAAAGCTGTTGAAACTCTTGCTTGATTCTGAAATGTCCTTCTACTGTTTAAACTACTGAGAGGGCTCAACAATTCCAGCAAACTCTGTTTTGTTCTTTATAAACTTGTTTGTTCCTAAGTTTTTGTTCCTTTTTTTTTTCTTTAACATGACTACCAGATATTGCTGCATATATGAATGGAATTTCATGCAGGGGTGATGATTTATCACAGAAGCTTTTTTAGAATCAGTCATTTCCTTTTCCTTCCACAAGAAAGGTTTGTTATTATCTCATTCAAATTTTAGCCTTCTCAGGACTGTTACCATTTTCCCCTTTTGCCTTTGCATATTGTTTAAAGCTTCCCAAGCCTGATGGGGGGAAAAAGCTGGCCCCTGTGCTTTTTCTAATTATGGAATTCTTTCTGCACTGAGATATCTCCTGCTGCTACCTTTCAGGAAGTAAAGTGATGTAATTTTGCATCTCCAAACATGTTAGTTGCTGCTAAATATAGAAGTAATCAAATCTGACAATGACACAAGGGCTGAATTCTGTATGATAGGATAGTGTGGTGGTCCTGGCATGGTAGGTAATATGTCTTCTGCAAAAGTCCTCCTAATGAAGGCAGGATCTACCCTGGAGGGAAGGAGCAATACCCTGTTTGGTGTGTGCATCCTAGTTCCTCTTGGAAAGGACAGAGTGAACTTAGAACTTCTGTGGGCACAAAGGAAAGGACCCTAGGAGCTTCAGCTCCATTTGGGTCAGCAGCACATTTCTGTGGCTCAAAAGAGAGGAGAATTGCTTGGCTGCAGGAACACTGTTAGCAAAGCTATGAGCACATTCAGAGGAAATCTGAGGACACTTGAGTCCCACTGATTTGAGTGATGGGACTAAGGTGGCTCAGGACTTGCCCTTCAAGAGCTGAAATTGCTGCAGAATTGAGTTGAAACACATTTGGAACTTAGACTTGAAGCTGCAGATCACGTCGATGTGGAGGTTATTGGAGGCATGAGCTCTTGCCTGTCTGCAGAACATCCTGGAACTATTTTTGCCTTGTGAAAAGTGAAAAGACTTTTACATTCTGCTTACTCCTCTGCTCCTGTAGCAGCAGGGAACAGCAGACAGCCCTTTAGTCTTCCCTAGTATGTAACTGTCATTTACCATTTTTTGTTCTAAACATTTTTATTTTCCTTGTATGCAGCAGTTTTGTGTGTGGGGCTTTTTTTCTTTTTTTTTTCCCAAAGAGTAATAAACAGTGTTTCTGGAATGGGATGTTGAAATACTGGCAGCCACAAGGAAAGACAATATTTGAAAACCTCTGCAGGAGAGAAACTTGTCTACTCACTTAAACATATTAACTGGATGAGTTTATAAAACAGGGATAGTCTCTTCTATTACTCATAAAACAGGAGCAAAGTCTTACTGCGGTTGAAAATTATTTAGTATGTCTTTGCCAGATTCCAGATTACTATTTTCTTTTACTCTTGTCAGCGTATTTTTCAGCACTTCACAAAAATGTTGGTGAGATATCTTGTGTTAAGGTTTATTTCTACAGAGGGCTGTGCTCCCACGGTGAGGTACTCTGCTCTTCAGGAGGAGCAGGGGATGCACAGTACCTTGCTGTATGGAGCCTAACTGAGACAGGAACTGTCAGGGTCATGAATGCTGGTATAGAAACCACACCAGCTGGGTTCTTTCCTCAGCCCACATCAAAGTGAATAGTCCTAGAACTGACTAGCTTCTACCAAATGCCTTTTTGGTTTTGGTGCTTGGATTCTGACATTATTAACGCTAGGACACTAGTGGAAAAACTTTAAGTCTCGTAACAGGATTGTTGTAATACTCAATAATTTTCTCACGTGCATTATGGATATTTAAAATAAAATCCTGTGCAGTCTCTGAAAGAGAATGTAATAGAATGAATTCCAGACAGTCTGAAAGGATCTGAAGCCTTTCTTTTCCTAACAGAAATGGTGCAGAGGGCTGAGTGCAGATGGGAAGCAGCAGAGACATAGAGCTGTGTACCCATAGCTGCATCATGTGCTTGGGAGCACACCCACACCACACAATGCTAATGTATATGTTTTGTGCACAGAGAGCAAAGAGGCTTCAGTCCCCTGACAAATGTGCTCCCGCTGTGTCACACTGTGCTACACTGTAAGGATTCCACAGGGTTAAATTTCAATGCCTAAACAATTTGTTCACAGTCTTTTCACAGTCTTTTTTCTGATTCCTGACAAAAGAAATGATTGCACAAGGCAAACCTTCAAAGCAATCTGATTGTGCAGAGCACAATCTAAATCAGACCTAGCATAAATACATCTTTACATTGGCTAGGCAGTTCTGTCCTAGGCCAGTGGCTGTTTGGCCTCTCATTGCAGGACTCCTGGGTGATGCCACATCCCATTAGGCCATGGCAGCCCAAAGTCCTCTCAGTTGGCCTTTCCTGGCAGACTTTCCCTGCATTGCACATACACCTTGTGGCTGGAGGCTTCCCTGGAGGTGCATGTCTGCACAAGGCAGATCTACCCCCTTTACAGCAGAATTATTGCTAATTTGTATTTTAGGCTTAACTAATTTGTCTATGTAAAGAGTTACTTTTCTTCCTGTAGTGTTTCACAAGGTGCTCCTGTAGTGTTTCTGTTCCATCCTCTCATTTGTCTTAAGTCATCATCTAAAACTATATTAATGCTTCTAATAGCTACTCTGGCAGGCTTCAAGTGTGCATCATTTGTCTCAATTTCACATAATAAAATGTGGATTTGCATTTTAATTCATTCAAATGCTGTTTTCCTGCTAGTTTTTGACTGTGATGCTAGAGAAGATGAACAACAGGCTCATTTTGCAGCTTGGGCCTGGTGCTGCCTTTGGATGTTTGTCTCAGCTTACCACTCAGCAGTGCCTACTTCTGAGTTTAGGGCATGCCAGCATTTCAAGTAAGAGTCCCTCTCACAGAGGTGGCTTATTAAGACACACAAAGAAAATTAAGCCAGTGCTTTAGCAGAAATAAATGTAAGCTGAGACAGCCCTTAAATCATTTTGTTGGTTCCTTTGACTGCAGCATTGGGACTTTTCAACCCAAGACTCTAAGGATCTTCTCTGGGGGCCTGAGCCACGATTTTTGTCTACATTACTACAGTTATTATTACATCTACAGATGTAAACCAGGGCTTTGAAAGAACATGTGGATGTGTAAAACTTTTACCATATTTCATTCAGTGGATGGATTAACTGGCCCACAAAAGCTCCATTCTTTATCTGAATGACTGGAAATCTGAAAAGGGGAAATTCAAGGAGTTCAACTCTTGTGCATATAATATGTTCTGCATTTCCAGAGGGATTTACCAAGGGATTGCTTTGTCTCATCTGAAGTGATCAATCTGCTGGAGATCTGCATCTTAACAAACAAATGAATGAAATGTTGAAGGAGCTGAATGGAACTGGTGGAGGAAGAAATGAATCTCATTTTGTGAAGTAAAGCATAAAGTTACTGTAATTAGGGAGTGGATGGAGTGTGAGTAGATATTCAGTGTTCTTGATTTGGTATAGGGGGTTGTGAATTAGCTGGGCCAAAAGAGAGTTTTAGGCATGGAGGATGCCATGGAATAGCCTTCAACTTTGGTAAAAATTGGACTCCTCTGATTTCTGGGTATGTAGGAGTGGCTATTGTCCCACCAGGTGAGGAATCTGTGAAGGCACATTTGCCTCAATATCTTCCTTAATGGCTGCTTGGTCTTCAGTGTCTTGATTGCTGGAATTTTAGATCTATATGACCAGGGTAGAAAGGAAATACGGAGTAGCTCTGGATTGCAAAGTCAGTGGTTCCACTTCTTGCACTGATTCAGGATTGCTTTTATGGTCTTGGATAATTATTAAAAATCTCTATGATTCATCAGCTTCATCTGTGAAGTATCTGCTATACTCCTTTGTTAACTTCCAGAAGCGCTGGGAAAATTAAATTCGTATGAGAGGTTGATGCAGCAGAACTTCTGTTCTTACTAACTAATCCCATATTCAGAAAGAAATATTGTTCAAGAACCTACCAAAATTTACCCAAGAAATCTTGGAGATGCTGATTTTTAGAATCTGAGCTGAACTAAAAGCCAGTGGATTTTGTGTTTCCTCACCTGACGTGATTTAAAGAGATCATGGAGAAAGAGGAAATTATTATGTCTCATGACTGCACTAAAACTATTGATGTCATTTTTGCAGAATACTTAACTGATAATATTGATGCTGCTATGCTGTGTTCTGCAGCCAGCTCTATAATTTAGCTAGTGAAAATACTAATTACATTATTACTGCTGTACTGTATTTCTGGATACTGCACAAAAGGCTGAATTAGAAAATACGTATAAGCAATACTAAAGCATATTTTGGTGGTGAGAATGCCTTTGAGACCAGGAAATAGCATTGTGCTGCCTTTCACAAGAAGTTACTCTTACTTGGGTTAAGCACATTGCATGGTTGTATTCCCTCCCACGTGGAGATCCAGAAACTGGTTGTGTTCACTACCATGCATCAAGCATGATAGTAAGAGGAACAATGTACAGGTTATAATGTCATCAGCTTAGCAGATTTCCACAAAGATTTTGAAGACTTGCTTTTTCTTCATAAAAATAAACTTGTTCCTACTTCCAAATTGAGTTAAAGAATAGGCACCCAGAATTAGCTATTCTGTATTTTATTCCTTCTCTAACAAAAAAACAAATTTTGAGAGGTCAGAAATGTTAATGTCTTTCCTTAAAATAAAGTTTTTGGTAATTTTTTGTGCATGTCAAAGTCAGCAACAAAATCTTCATAATCTTGTGACAAGATCTGTGCCTTTGGCTCTTAAAGGAAAGTTTTGTCTTCACTGATACAGACTAATTTTGTCCCTGTTGTCCTGTTTATAGTTAGGTCTGATGGCCTTTGTTCATGTTCACCTTTCAATATTAGGTCAGTGTTAAAGTCATTATCAACCTAAAAGGTTGGATTGCTACCAGGATCCAGCCTTTGTTGCCCCACAGTGCTATAAATTATGTTACAATCTATTGTTAAAAATTAATAATATGCAACATAGAGGTCTGATGGAATCATGTTAATGAGAACACTGAAGCTTCATTGACTTGCAATATCATTAGAGCTCTGAGACAGG